TTATTCTCATTACTCTTAAACCTTTAAACCAAAATAGGAAAGTAGACTCCCTTAGAGGACAATACTTGAAAATCAATTATAAAAAAATAGTATTGTGGCCACATCATGGTATTTTCTATAATAGAGCTCCATTTTTTTCTTTTGCTTTTGATAAATTCAGTTAATGATTGTCAAATATAACACCTTGTATGCTATTTGAAGTGAATCAAATCTTTTCAAAAAGAAAGTTCTGATTTTAAACAAACTGTGGGAAGCTATTTGTAAAAGGGCTAAAATATCTATACTGAACTTTTATCAATCTTTGTGATCACCTCAGAGTTTTTAAGTAATGCTGTTGAATGAGGTTTTTGTTTTTAAAAGACAACAACAAACAGTATTTTTCAGGCTAATTAGACTTTCTATGTTTAGAACTAATGACTGAAATTTCCTAAGGAACAACTCAACTCCTCTAACACAAGAGTGAACCTAGAGTAGGCAACTGCTTACCCATGATATTTGAGAATTTCTGAAATACTTATTTACCACTAGAAGCAGGTAGAAGTTTAAAATCATAGGCCTCTGATGACAAAAACGTATTTTCTAAGCTCTAAATGCTCCACAGTCATTCCTCATAAAGACCAACTTTATTCCAAGAGTTTTTCTGGTTTAAAATACATGTTTTTATTTATATGTGTGTTCTCAATGCTTAGAAAAGCATAGGCACCACAAATGCAGAGTGAAGTTAGTTGAGTTGAATTGCAATGGATTCCCTTGTGTCATAGACTGCCTTGCATTCTAGTTAATTGTGCGTGTTTTATTTCCTAAATTGTAAACTATATAAAGGAGGGCACCCTATTTCATACATCTCTGTATCCTTTGCATCCTCTATTGTACAACACATATAGAATGCCCTATATATTTCTTGAATTTAAAATGTTAGTAAATGAATGAATGAATGAATGAATGAATAAATCTTGGTTCTAGGCTATTCTTATGTGATACATTTTACACTGCTATTCAGTCAGGAACACTTATTTGTGTTCTTTTTCCAAGATTTCAAAGAATGACTTCAATTAAATTTTCTCTAACTAGAAATTTCCACACAAAGCAGCCAGTAAGCCTATATAGTAAGACTTAGCTTCTTGATTTTTGAAAATGGTATTTCCTTCTTAGAAATATGCAAGGTTTTTAAGAAAATATGTGGATTAAGGAAATTAAAGGCTTTTCTATACATTCTTTTGTCTGTTATTTCAAATGTATAAGCATACAGATTGAATGCCCATTTAAGGCAAAATGATATTTATGTCTCTCATGAGATTTTCACATTATTTTTCTACTCAAGGGAGATATTGAGTATGAAAAGGAGCTACTGAAACTGAATGGAAGCAATGTAAATGTTGTAGAGTATGAAAGTCCAAAAACAGCCAGCACAGTGGCTCACGTCTGTAATCCTAACACTTTGGGAGGATTGCTTGAGCCTGAAAGCTAGAGACTAGCATGGGCAACATGGCAAAACTCTGTGTCTACAAAACAAAAAATTTAAAAATTTAGCTGGGCATCATGGTGCACGCCTGTGGTCTCAGCCACTCAGGAAGCTGAGGTGGGAGGATCACTTGAGCCAGGAAGTCAAGGATACAGGGAGCCACGTTGGTGCCACTGCACTCCAGCCTGGAATAGAATGAGACCCTGTATCAAAAAAAGGGAAAAAAAAAGTCTATAAAAGGATTTTATCTGTTGAGTAAGATAAGTGTTAATTTGCAGTTAATTACTTTTGAAAATACTGAAGTTAACATGTAATAATGCATACTTAAAACTCTGTCTCTTTAGTTTGCCTTGATGAAATAGTACATATGTAAACTATGTCCTTGTTCAAATTCTGAGTCTGCCACAAATCAACTGGATAATCTTGGACAAATTACTAAACCTTTCTGGGCCTCAGTTTCCTTTCTGTAAATAAGACTTTTTCAATTATTAATACATGTAAAGTATTTAACACAGTGTAAGTGACCTATAATTATAAGCTATTAGTAGTAGTTGTATGCTCACAGAAGACTAGAGCATGGCTGTTGAATGAAAGAATGGTTTGAAAATGTGATTACTCTCATTTATGCAATCAAAAATAGCACACAACTTTCAAATCAGTCACTTTATGAAACTAATCATTCCGGGTATACTGTCTTTACTCAAAATAATTTTGGAACTCCTTTCTTGAAATGGCCTTAAAACTACTTTTTACGCCACTTAAAATACTATCTCACCATCACCTTTTAAAGTATTACTCATTTTTTATGGTTAAGATCAAAGATACCTCTCTTTTAAAAATATTTTCTGATTCCCTAGTTTAAAATGCTCTCTTCTTCCACTGAACATTTAGAATGCTTTGTCTGTAACCCCCTCCTTTACTTTCTGTGTGTTAGAGTTTTATCTGCTCTCGTCTTCTCTATTCTAACGGCAAGCTCTAGGCAACATATTTCACTCATTTGTGGATCCCAAGGGTCTCAGTTATTTTTAGTAAATATTTTTTGCTCAAGTTTGTTTTATTGATTATTAATGAGGCTATTTGGATCTGAATGAAGCCACACTGGATTCTTCTGACAGCCAAGGAACAATCCTGGGTAATGGGTTCAATTTCAGCCCACTTTTTCTATTTTTGAATGAGAGGCTGTAGGTTTAGGTAAAGAGCATAAGTTTTAACATCAGACCAATGGCATGCTGCATGATTCCATTTACATAAAATTTTAGAAAAGACAAAACTGTAGGGATAGAAATCAAATCAAAGGCTGCTTGGGGGATAGGAAAGGATTGACTTCAAAGGGACATGAAGGAATCGTGAAGGAGATAAAATGTTCTGGATCATCATAGTTGAGATGGCAGTTATCATACCAAATGCGTATGTCAAAACTCACCAAATTTTGCAATTTTTATATGCAAACTAGAGTTCAAAAATAGCAGATTTTAAAATATTGAGCCAGTTAAAAACTTCAAGGAAAAGGAAAGTGAAAGTCTAGGCCAAAGTGGGAGAAAGGAATCAAGCAGGAAAAACTCACTAAGTGGGTCTTTGCCTAAAAAAAACACAAAAGGTAGGAGAGAGAAATCTATGAAAAGTTAGAAGAGCTTTTCTGAATTCCACCTCATTCTTAAAGTTCAGAAAAATAAATTCACATAAAACAAGAAACGTACTAGGTGTGAAAACTTGCTCTGGGTGGTAAAAGAATAAAGGAGAAAATAAATAATATTAAATGAACAAATACTAATTTTGTGCATATTATTAATATAAGTTCAACAAAACAGCATGCCCAAGCCAATGACTTAAGAGTGGCTAAAATGAAAAGTAACACAGCCAGATGGAATTATTGAAGATGATGATGTGCAAAGGAAATACCAGAATGAACTTCCAGGGGAGGTGTGTTCAGAGCCAGATACTGGAAGAAGTAATTGATCACATTGGTGGGAACAATATTCCGGATGAGAAAGAGTGTCATGAGCTAAGAGCTAGAATCAGGAAATATTAAGCATGAGAAAATGTTACTAACTTTCCTGTTACTATATATGTCTCAGCATAATATTGAAATGACACCTGAGGTCTAACACAAGTCACTATTCTTCCCAGAAAACTTCTCTGTCAGCTCATCCCAAATTGAATGCTCCAACTTCGCAGAAATCCTTCACTCTGTGCCTCACAAATTAGCACCCTAATTTGTTTGCCAACTACTTTTTTTTCTTCTTTTTTTTTCTTTTTTTTTTTTTTTTAGACGGAGTTTCGCTCTTGTTACCCAGGCTGGAGTGCAATGGCGCGATCTCGGCTCACCGCAACCTCTGCCTCCTGGGTTCAGGCAATTCTCCTGCCTCAGCCTCCTGAGTAGCTGGGATTACAGGCACGCACCACCATGCCCAGCTGATTTTTTGTATTTTTAGTAGAGACGGGGTTTCACCATGTTGACCAGGATGGTTTTGATCTCTTGACCTCGTGATCCACCTGCCTTGGCCTCCCAAAGTGTTGGGATTACAGGCGTGAGCCACTGCGCCCGGCCCATTGTTTGCCAACTATTTAATGTGTTCAATTACACTATTTCTGGTGCAGGAATCATGCATTCATCCCTCTTCTACTCCCAAAAGGTGTAGTACATTCCTGGGCATATAGTAAGCAGGAAATAAGACAACATTTTGATTTACTAATAAAATGTAAAACTTGGGGCCGGGCACGGTGGCTCACGCCTATAATCCCAGCACTTTGGGAGGCCGAGGCGGGTGGATCACGAGGTCAAGAGATCGAGACCATCCTGGTCAACATGGTGAAACCCCGTCTCTACTAAAAATACAAAAAATTAGCTGGGCATGGTGGCGCGTGCCTGTAATCCCAGCTACTCAGTAGGCTGAGGCAGGAGAATTGCCTGAACCCAGGAGGCAGAGGTTGCGGTGAGCCGAGATTGCGCCATTGTACTCCAGCCTGGGTAACAAAAGTGAAACTCCGTCTCAAAAAAAAAAAGTAACCATAGACATTTAAAAAGTAGTGATGTACATAGACACATTGCTTAAGTCTACTGACAGTATTTGTCACACTTGAGAATTATAGACCACCCACAATAATTCCACAGGTTTCTCTCCTTTAAATGTTACTTACAGGGTACACTGTTCCAATGGTAATATTAATATTCAACAACCAAAAGTTAAGTAGATGAGGGGAAACATATCAATCACACTGAAAGTTCAGCATCTGATAACGTAACTCATAAAGGAGATTTCTCAAGGATGAAGAATGAATCTTACTTGACACACATTAGATAACGAACAAGTTCAAGTCTTAAAATCCTGATTTATTTTAAACTAGTGCTTAGATAGGACCGTGGCTCAAGTTTGGCAGACAGGTTTAAATGTCAAATCCAACACTAGAGACAATGCAATTTATTTCAGTTAAGGAACGTAGACTTTGGCATCAAATAATGATGTCTTTTTCATTCCTGCATGGCATGGATGCCTCTATTTGCATGACTTCTGAGTATGAAGTAATAAGGTATTAATTTTCAACAACTGATCTTTCTGAAAAATACAAAGAAACAGCAAAATGGTGGTATTAAAACTGACTCACCACTGTCCTTTTTGTTGGGCAGGAAGACTCTAACGATAGGGTTTTGTGGTGGCTTGGGGTTGCTCCATGCCACGTCTTTGGGATTTTGAAAAACTAAAAGAGATGAAGGTAGCACTGAAAGGCTAGAAGAGGAAGGAGATGTAATGGTGTCCGTTGATGCAGAGCTAGAAACAGAAAAATCAATTCCGTTGCCCAGAGATTCCAGTAAGTGTTGTTCTCGTTGTTGGAGTGCGTCTAGCTTGCTGGTGTATTCTTCATATGCCTCCAGATATACTGACGGTGGATTATGCTCCCCACCAAATTTGTCCAGTAGGGCCTCTATATGTTCCTGTGTCAACTTGATCATTTGTTTGATATTCCACACCTCCTCGGGAATGGCAGGGTTCGCAGCGGCGCCGGCGCCGGCCTCGGGCTCCAAGTCCCGGTTGAACTACCAATATTGCGTCACAGGGATGAACAGCATGTAAATTGCTGTTTACAATGCTGAAGGCGGAAGTTGAGCATAAAATGATCCCTGCTTCTAGAGCTGACAGAGAACAGAATCCTGTGATGCTGGCCAATAACTGTTATAGAAAACTGTGAGACTCCATGAATCTGAAGTTTATTCTTCAAAAAGTATCACATGTGACACATAGGCTTCATTTTCTCAACATATGGTCCTGGAGAGTCTAGAACACCTTCATGTTTTTAAAAATAATTAATAACAGGTTTAAACAGGAAATATTGAGGTTGTTTTTTAGCCTATCACATTGCTTCCTACTCTGGAATTTGAAGCAAATAAATTGCACTGTTTTACAAACAGTGTTAGAAACAACAAAATTTCCAAAGACAATGATAAAAAGATACTGCAGAACACCATCTTTTAAATTATAGGATTTCTTTTGATATAATCTACCAGCTTATCTGTGATCAGAATCTTGATATATCTTTAGGAGAAAATTGTCCATAAATTAGCTATCTTTAACTGTGGCATTTAAGAACAAGATGATTCTAGTTGTTACTATACTGCATGGATCATTTCTTGACCCTTTATTATTTTCATCTGTCTTAGACTGTCTTGGAATTACAATCCTATAGATTGATATAGTAGTAAGAAAATCTTCATGGAATCCAAATGCAAGGTAACTGATCTAGACACAAAAACAGAATTTGTATACAAGATGCAAGTAAAAGGCAATAACCATACTGACATGTTTGGAGGCTGTAATGAGGAGAAAGAAATTTAAGAAATACTCTGTGATTTTTGAACTAATGAATGAAGAAGTGGTTATTAATCTCATTCTATCAGTCATTGCTTTACGAAATAATGTCATGATTAAGTACAACTTGCCAATATTTTATCAACATGAAATCATGCCATTGATTTCAAGGTACCTCAACCATGTAAGTTAGATAAATATTGCTGCATTTATCCAATATTTTAGTAAGGTCACTTAAATTTGAATGATGGAAGTCTGTATTTTCTACAAGAGCATATTTCCAGATACAACTGCATGCTTTCAAAAACTAGAGTCTGAAGTGTGAAAATAAAAAACCTATACTTTTCATGTAACAGAAAGAACTGCATCATCTTTGGGTGGAAATAAAGTGAAGATTACTAGTGCTAGATGCACCACAAGTAATAGATTAAAATTAATTTTCTGGAAGAAAAAAACATTATGACAACAGTATTCCACTGATAATTTGTGGTCAGTAACACTGAAGTGTAGTAATAACTTTGAAACAGTAAAGAAAAGTATTAAAACCAATGAAATTAAAGAGCAGAAACAAATAAAGGAGATTTTTGTGATGGAGAAGTTCCAAATGATATATTTTGAAGAATTAGCCACACAGTATGAATCTAAAGTAAATTAGCCTCATGATTAACTTGGGAAAATATTTTTAAGTTACCATATATCCTCTTCCATGTCCATCAAGAAAATGATAATTACATCTGGGTATGTTCCATATCAATATCTTTCCTAACATGAGATAAGGTTTTAGGATCTATGTGGGAATTGGGTCCCTGGAGAAGTCTGGAGCAAAGTATGTTGAAGCATAAATTAAGGCCTTGCAAATTTTTTAGCTAATAGCTTTATTCAAAGTAATACACTGTTCCATTATCTGTTTGATAAGTTTGGCTTCTGTTAGATGTTTTAAAACAACTACAAGCTCATTTGTGAGAGTCTGTATAATGCTGTTAAGAACACGTTGATTTTCTTTTGGTAACAATATACATACTGATTTTTAAACAAATTTATCTGGTTAGAAACAGCCCCCTAATTAGACTTTTCATTTAATTTCTGTAATTTGAACAAGACTCACATGCATCTAGTTTTATTATATTTTTTAAATATGTTTGTGGTTTTAGTACACAAATGTACTAAGGATCATAAGTCTCTGTTAGTCACAATTACGGAAATTAACGTATGCATTTTACATAGAAACTGGCAGATAGCAAGATAAGGCAGAATTTGGCAAATTTCATGATACTTTTAAAACATTAACAGCTTTGCAACTCATTTTGAAGTTATTTTAGAAAGTTTTAAAAACCATGATTTTCTGCATGGAAATAATTTTTCAGATTAAATTTATTTCGCATGAGACAACATACAGATTGCAAACTTTATTACAGTAAGTTTACTTTTTGAAAAACTACAACAAAGAAGGGGTTAATATAGTTTTCTGTTTTGTGTATTATTTGGGAATTTCAAGTAGAAATAGAAGAAAAGCAATAAAAATAGAAAAACATAATAAAGTTATTAACAACTTTAAGCAAAATGTTGTATCCCTTTAGAGCATCTTGAAAAAGATTTCTAGTAATTTAACGCTAAAAAAGTTACACTAAAACGTCCTGCTTATGTATTAAAGGTTATGAAAACATTGTGACATAAAAGGTTGAATTTATAAAGTTAATAAGCCATTTAGCCTGAATCTACATAATGCTAAAATAATCACATGAAGCATAAAGGAAAAAGTCAGTTGTTCTAAGATATAATTATGACATTTTATATTCTGATATATAAAACATTATACATATGTACATTTTATATTCTGATATATAATTGTTTTATATATCAGAATATAAAATACTTATTTTTAAATCTAGATATTTATCGTTTTATAGAAAGACAAGCCTAATTGATCTAGAACAGGCTTTTTTTCCCTCACTTGATAAAAGCAAGGGCCCATTTTAAAGAAAAAGTTTCCAAGATTGCTAGTTGAGAAAAAAATTATCATTATACTATAGAATCTTTAGCCTTAAAGACCTTATAGAGATATAAATTAAAATGCACTTAAAACACTTGAGGCCAGGAACTTGAAACCAACTCAGGCAACATAACGAGACACCATCTCTACAAAAAATAAAAATAAAAATAAAAATAAATTAGCTGAGCATGGTGGTTTATGCCTGTAGTCTCAGCTACTCTGAAGGCTGACATGGGAGGATAGCTTGAGCCCAGGAGTTTGAGGCTGTATGTAGTGAGTAATGATCCCACCACTGCTCACCAGCCTGGGAGACAAAGCTAGAGCCTGTTTGTAAAAATAATAATAAAGCCACCACACTTACAATTTCCAAATGCACCAACTTATACAACCATTAATATTCATATTAACAATATACTGAAATATCAAAATAAAATTGTATCACGTACCAAATCCTTAAACTGGACTGTTTAAAACTGGTATTCTCCATTGTGAGCCCCTCACTCTTCAAGAATCCAAGAGGGTTACTTACATGAGGAGAAAGGATGTGTGGAGTAATTTTAGTCAGCTACCGCAGAGTTCCCAAATGGCATTTCAAAATCTATTAGGGATCAATCCCAAGGTAATTCAAAAATTGAATGTATTCTAAGATTTGCAGCAATTGAAATTGCATTTAAACCTATTTGCATATATCCCTTCCTAAATTCAGTAATAATTATTTTAGTGCATAAAACTTCTTTCCGGCCGGGCGCGGTGGCTCAAGCCTGTAATCCCAGCACTTTGGGAGGCTGAGGCGGGTGGATCACGAGGTCAAGAGATCGAGACCATCCTGGTCAACACGGTGAAACCCCGTCTCTACTAAAAATACTAAAAATTAGCTGGGCATGGTGGCGTGTGCCTGTAATCCCAGCTACTCAGGAGGCTGAGGCAGGAGAATTGCCTGAACCCAGGAGGCAGAGGTTGCGGTGAGCCGAGATCGCGCCATTGCACTCCAGCCTGGGTAACAAGAGTGAAATTCCGTCTCAAAAAAAAAAAAACTTCCTTCCTAATTTAGTTTTTTATTTATTGGAATAATGCCTTCCAATATCTGGAAGTCTTACTTACAGGTAAATGATTGTAAAGAGCATAATGCCTTCCTGCTTATCTTGTAATGTGTTTATTTATTTACTTTGTTAATTAAAATATAATATTTGTACATATTTCTGTAGTACATATGACATTTTGGTACCTGCATACAATGTGTAATGATCAAGTTAGGGTAATTGGGATGTCTATCACGTCAACATTTATTTATTCTTTGGTTTGGAAATATTAAAATTATCCTCTCTAGCTATTTTGACATATGTAATAAATTTTTATAAAATATATTTTTGACTGTAATATGAAACACTAGAACTTATTCCTTTTATCTAACTATATTTTTGTAACCCTTAATCAATTTCTCTTCATCCTCCTACCCTCTTCTCTTCCCAGCCCTTGGTAACCACCATTCTTCTCTCTACCTCCATCAGATCCACTTTTTTAGCTCACATTTGTGAGAATGTGCAATGTTTGTCTTTCTGTATTTCTGTGCCTGGGTTATTTCACTTAACATGATGATATCCAGTTTCATCCATGTTGCTGCAAATGACAAGATTTCATTCTTTTTCTGGCTTAGTAATACTCCATTGTGTATACAGACCACATTTTCTTTATCCATTTATTCACCAATCGACACTTAAGTTGATTCCATATATTGGCTATTATGAATGCTGCCATAATAAATACGAGTGTGCTTATATTTCTTCAGTACACTGATTTTCTTTCTTTTGGATATATAACAGTGAAATTGCTTGGTCATATGGTAGGTCTATTTTTAACTTTTTAAGAACTTCCACACTGTTTTCCTAATGGGTGTACCACTTTATATTCCCACTAACAGGGTATGAACATTCCCCTTCCTCCAAATCCTTGTCGGCATTTATTTATTTATTTATTTATTTATTTTTTTGAGACGGAGTTTCGCTCTTGTTACCCAGGCTGGAGTGCAATGGCGCGATCTCGGCTCACCGCAACCTCCGCCTCCTGGGTTCAGGCAATTCTCCTGCCTCAGCCTCCTGAGTAGCTGGGATTACAGGCACACGCCACCATGCCCAGCTAATTTTTTGTATTTTTAGTAGAGACGGGGTTTCACCATGTTGACCAGGATGGTCTCGATCTCTCGACCTCGTGATCCACCCGCCTCGGCCTCCCAAAGTGCTGGGA